TAAATAAACGATGTATGAAACATGTTTCCCTTGTTAAGAGCAGTTTCCGATTTTTACAGGAGTGCTTACGGGTCAGAGTGCTGCAGACGAGTGGAAGCTAGAACTTGCCTCGGATATTTCTTTTGAAGCCATTGATACGACTAACTGTGGGGACTTGTCCGACGTCGCACCTCACAGTTTGTGCTCAATTGTACCAGTAAATTCCGAAGCATCTTCAAAGCTCCGTGCATTGGTCGAGCCAAATTCATCCGAAGTCCCTGAGGATCCTAGCACACCCAACTTTCCAACGGAACCAACAGCATCTGAAGCCCCTGTCGAGCCCACCACATCGGACGTGCCGACGGAGGCAACCACATCTGAAGCTCCTGTAGAGCCTAGCACATCCGAAGTTCCGGCTAACCAAACTACATCTGAAGGCCCTGTGTCTACAAGCACATCGGGCGTGCCGACAAAGCCAACTACAACAGTTGCACCCCCTTCCCCTACCTGTTTTGTATGTACAGTATGTGAGACTTTTCCCAGCATAAAAGGAGTTGATAGAGGCACGTAACTTAAATTGGATCCTTCATTCCTACAGGCTGACGTGGGAGGCCCTCTCGTGCAAGACGGCGTAGTAGTTGGCCTGCTTTCACGTGGATCCGGTTGCGTTGGTGGATCCACTTTCACCGTGCTCACTGACGTTAGCGCCTTTACTAACTGGATCCAAGATACCATCCAGAAATACGGAGAGTGGTAACAACTGATGATGTTAAATAAAGTATGTTTCAATTGAGTAAATCTGTTAAGGATCCTCCCCCCCCCCCTCCCGGTCAGCAACAAATACACTGCAAAAATATCGGTGGAAACGCTTCACGTTTGTTCTCGGCCAAGACTTAGAAACCAAACACTCCACGATTCTTTGGCACGGAAAATTTACGTGAAAGATCTCCCATATCACAAGATGCTTGAGCATGATCAATTTCATAATGTCCTTAACAAAGAATCAACTTGAAAAACGACAAATGATCGAACAGGAAAAAGAACTATTCGTCAAGTTTTGCAAACTTTTCCTAAATCTCGGGCTTTTGTAGCTTGTTACTTAATTGTCTGTAACATTATTTTAGGAGTAAAAGCAAAAATTGTAACGTTTCCTGCAGTCCTTTGAACTCTGCTAGTCTTCGCCATCGGGGAGTCAGATGCTGATTTGTCAGCACTTCTTTGAAAATGCCTCTTGGTGTTCACAGGGATCTCCGGAATATCTCCACTGACATCCTGTAATGATAAGGATTATTCTTCCATTCTTTTATTTTCAAGCAACAACAATTCAATAAATCTAAGAACAATTGGAAAAAATTGAAAAATCACTTACATCATCATCATACAGTAGGCGCTCGCTAAAGTTCCACCTGGGGTTCAGATTAGGAGTGGGTGAGTGGGGTTGCCAGAGGCGGAACTATAGCGAGCGTCTTCCCCCACTGCTCGAGGGCGCGCTCGCTCACACTGCTGGCCGGCCGGCGGCCCAGTGGAAGGTGGTGGGGAGGAGGAAGAGAGGGGAACCGCTTCTCGCTCGGAGTTGGGGGACCAGGCCTGGCGGGGAGGGAGCGCCGGCGGAACTCTGCCGGGCGGAACTATAGCGAGCCCTCACTGTACTCTTCTATATACTCTTCAGGCAAAGTACTGCTATCGTGAAAGTGGCAGGAGCATATGAAGCAATTGTGGGCTGTTAGTTTCTTCGGTGCGAGGTAAGTCATGCTACCCAAACTCAGCCACAATCTTGCATTAATAAGATCTTCAGGGATAGCCTTAAAATAACATCCTTGAGGCCGAACATTGCCATCCTTCGGACCAGACTGATGGTCACAATTTCGGTAGTGGCAGCGTCTTCTCCGCCTACCGCCAGCCATGCTAAACAGCAATAATTGTAAAATTTACAAATAACGTTAAAATAACAAATACAAAAGCTTACCTAAGAAAGCAAACGGTTCAACAAGTTCTTTGGAGCAGGATCGCACGATCTACTAAAGTTAAACCCGTCCTCACGGCAAAATTTCACGGCAATTCTTGAAGTTATGGTATTTCCACTTCTCAAAATTTAAAAATAAGCATGCTATCGTGTCGGGCGTGAAAATTACCAGAGGTAACAACAAGCAGGCCCGCCCTTCCGCCAAACGAAGTTGCCAGCTCCGCTTCGCTCCGCCGGCAACTCCGCTCGGCAGGGGCCGGGCCTGCTTGGCCTGCCGGTGGCGATGGTCGGGCCTGCGGCCCGACCATTTCTGTCACGCGATTTGCTGAATAACATGATCGAATGATGTAGCGGGCCTTTGGCCCGCTTACACCCGTTGTCTTTGAGTTTGCCCCAAAGACTCGAGAAGGGGATTTAACGGTGAAGCACCGCGACTACAACCCACCCTTCTGCTTAGAAAACGGTTTATGGGGGTGGGGAGAGAGCTTCCTTTCTATTTTGCGGTTATGCCTTTTTCTACAACGTATTGATCACTATGGCAATTTTTAGCTTATTTTCGTCAAAAAAAGACCCTCCAGCGCCTAAACGGTTAGAGATAGAGCAAAACGGACGAAATTTTCGCGCAGAGGACCCTGCTTTATCGAGATACCCTTTTAGAGAACATAAAAAAAAAATACTTTTGGGGAGAAGTTTTGAACCTTGGATACCCCCATTCACAACCTTAGGGGTGGTTGCCAGGATTTGCCGTAGGCGTTTCGTTCTCAAGGAGTGGACCTTAAGATACCCTGAAAATTTCAAGTCTCTAGCACATCTCCTTCTAGTGGAACAGACAGACAGACACACACGAGGTCGTTTGCATAAGCCCGCTGGATAGCTTTTTCAAAGCAGAAGGGCGGGCTGAAAAACCGCATCGAAATCCGAGCTAAACTAACAGATCTAGCTAATGTCGCTACTAGCGCTGCGCCAAACGTCGCGGATCTTCTGCTTTGTTGTGGGTCCGCGCTACGCGCTGCCACCGCGCCGCCATAATGTTCTTCTCTTCTTCATACTAGGCGAATCGCTCATCAACTAGTCTCGGGTTTCAACGCCGCAGGCGTCGCTATACGTACGCCAGGCGTGTCGCAGCGTAACATATGTGAGACATCATGAGATATCGTGAAGTCTGTTACGCGAGGCGTGGTCTGGCCTACATACATCTAGTAATATCTGTTGGAGTGACATTGAGTGATATTGCTTACGTATGTAAGAGGTGTGGGTGCTTGCGTGCGTCGACACAAGATGTGATTACTAGGAACTGCTTGCTCCTGAACGGCACAGCTGATCGTACTGTAGTGCTGATCAGGTAAAGAGTGTAGACTGGCTTGGACTGGCCCAAGTCTTCACTCAGCCATTAGTGCACCAACATACCAGGTAAATTTATCTGGACTCAGTCAGGAGAGCAAGCAGTAGAAGGTTTATTTTTCAACCCTGGTAAGCAGAGACTGCAAAGCTAGAATCAATTTTGCCCATTTAGTTCATTGTATTAACGGGTATGCAATACCGAATCTTCTTTCGTCCACCCTAGAAACGTTTGCATTGGCCAGATTATGTTGCCTGTGTTTAAGGCGAGTAGTTTCCCAATTTCTCAAATGCAGATGAGCATAGTTATAAGTGCTCACATTAAAATATCTATATTCTCACCTGTAAGTGCACCCAGATGAACGAATAACTGTTCGCTCACTTGCAGGTGAGCGACATTCGTACACAGCTAAAAGTTGCCAGCTACTAACAATTAGTTAAAATAGCTAACTCATTTTTCTGCGTGGTAAATATATGTCTGCTCAGATTACACTTTTAAAGCATGTCAGATGAAATAAACCACATTGGTGGCGGCGCGCCACCGGCGCCTTACCGCCTGCACTGTAAAAAGTTTTGTTGGAAATTTCCGAACAATGAACTGGAAAATTTGCAGCCCGAACAGTTTGGAAAATTTGAAATCCAAACAGTTTGGAAACACAATTTTCCAAACTATTTAGAAATTTCGAAACTTTTTAGAGATCTCTCAAAAACGTTTGACAAACATTTTTGAATATATTAGCAAATTGTTATTTTTGATGCTACTGAACTTGGTTCTGGTGTAAAATGGTTCCTTTTTTTCTGTTCCAAATTGCTCGGAAATTTCCAAGAACTGGACTGGAAATTTTGTTTTCCAACAGCTGTCTGGAAAATCGCGATAACTGTTTTTAAAATCGCGTTTCCAAACTATTCGGACAGAATTTTGTTAGAAAATTCCGACTTTTATTTACAATGCTCCGATTTTGTTCTTCTAACTTCCACTCTGCCCTCTCTTGGAATACCCTATTAGGACACCATACAACTCGGTTTTGTTACTCACCGAAAAATAGTTGTACAGAAAACATGCATTTTAGAAATGATGCAGCTGTTTTTAGACAACAAATATTGTTTTTATTTGACCCCTTGCGAAACTTTAGCTATTCGGCTCATAGTACAAGAAAAGTGTGGTTAATTTTGTGAGGAACACATTTTGTTCAAGAACAACAACCCTCGTAATGTAACAGCTTTTTTCCAGGAGCAGAACGTTAGTGACTGTCTTCGGTCAGAAGCTTCGTTTCCGAGATTTTTATCAAAATAGTTTTATTTACAACATGTGTTGTTTCTTTACAAGATGTGTTGCTTACAAACGTAACTGCACCTAAGCAGTTAATGCCTGGATTTACAAACCCTGTGGAACTTTGCACACATTGTGTAAATAGTGCTTGTTGGCTGAGCGATTAGCGAAGCCTATTACTCCAGTGATGATCAAAAAGTTTCGCGTCTGTCTGTGTGTCTGTCTGTCTGTCTGTGTGTGTGTTTGTCTGTCATCACAATAACTCGAGAACGAATTGAGCTAGCGACCTGGGATTTTTAGGGTCGTTTTGTGTCATAAAAAGACAGATCAAGTTCGAAGAAGAGCATTCTAGCCCAAAAGTTGAATTTTTAAAAAATCAAAAACCACAGGTCCCCAAAATGACGTTTTTAAAAACTATTTTCTAAACTGTTTCCTAAGGGGTAACTCATCAAAGTAGAGCCCTTTGGGCGAAAATTCCGTCCATTTGGCTCCATCTTCAACCGTTTAGGCACCAGAGGGAGTTTTCTACACGAAAGTGACCGCAAAACATTTTTATATTTTTTCTCAGATATTTGATGGTCTCCGGTGGGGTAACTCGTTAAAATAAAACCCCGAGGAACAAAATTTGTGACTTTTGAGGCCGAATGCCTGCTTACGACTCTGCCTTTTGCCCGACTTGGGTGTCAGCGCCGCAGGCCTAGGTAGATGTATGCCAGGCGCGTCGCAGCGTAACAGTGTTTCGTGAGATTTCGCGAAGCCTGTTACGCGAGACGTGGTCTGGCGTACATCTACCTAGTCTTAAGTAGACCTCATGTTGATGTTGTAAGCGTTGAATACAGCATTAACACTTGTGGTTTAGCAGTGGGTGAGAGAAATATAATACAGTGAGGGCTCGCTATAGTTCCGCCCGGCATAGTTCCGACGACTCTTCCTCCCCGCAAGGCCTGGTCCCCCCACTCCGAGCGAGAAGCGGCTCCCCTCTCTTCCTCCTCCCCACCACCTTCTCCTGGGCCGCCGGCCGGCCAGCAGTGTGAGCGAGCGTGCGGTAGAGGAGTGAGGGAAGCCGCTCGCTATAGTTCCGCCTCTGGCGACCCCACTCACTCACTCCAAATCTGAACCCAAAGCGGAACTATAGCGAGCGCTTACTGTAAAGACAGCTTACAGTAATGCAATGTAGCAGATGTGTTCGTGTTCCATCAGAGCAAACCGTTACCCTTCAATTTTAATTGACAATGCGTTCTCATTCGCATCCCGTGTCTTTGAGATGTATTCAAATCTTACGCCGGAAATAAAAGTTGGAATTTTCCGATAAAATTGTGTCCGACTTGCTTGGAAACACGATTTTCCAAACAGTTATCGCGATTTTCGAAACAGTTGTTGGAAAAGAAAATTTCCAGTCCTCTTTTTGGAAAATCCCGAACAATTTGAAACAGAAAAAAGGAACCATTTCACGCCAGAACCAAGTCGACACTTCAAACCTATACACACGGAGTTCGTGGAGGCCCTGTATAAACACGCAGTTCCCGGGGGCTCGGTACAAACACGGAGTTCAGCAGGCCGCCGTATAGCGTCGTAACTATGTTTTTTGAAAATGTCGAGTTATGAAGTGCGTCGGATAGAGGAAACCAAGGGCTATCGATCAGCGAAAATCGCATTTCGATATGTCAATTAGTTCTAAAGTTATTCTGGTCTGAAAATGCAGCCGCCCATTAGGCAAAATGTAAACCCAAAACTTTGAAGCGCTATATCTCAGAAGTGACTTTCAAGCACTTAAGACGTTATACGGGGACCCGCTGAACTGCGTGTCTGTACGGAGCTGCCAGGAACTACGGGTTTATACGGAGGCTCCACGAACTCCGTGCTTGTAGATTTCAAGTGTCGAAGTTTAACTGTTCGGGCTGCAAATTTTCCAGTTCATTGTTTGGAAATTTCCGACAAAACGTTTTACAGTGTTGAAAGTTCTGTTATATATTTAACCAAAATCTAGAGCTGTTCACTTATAGAATGGCTGGTAGTCACCTTTTGGAGCTGAAATACTTCTCTTTAGACCCGATATGTCTTTTTATAGTTCAAACCGATCCTGAAATTTGATCGCTAGCTCAATCCCGTCGAGAGTTATCGTACGGACAGACAGCAAACAGTTTTCTCTCACTAGACGGAGCTGTTGCTCCGCCTGAAGACTAGTTTGAGAATTATAGTACGGACAATAGAGTGGCGCTAGCTGCAAAAAGTGTTTCGTGTGACATCTCGAAGACTCGACTTGGCGTAAATTTAGCAAGTTGTAACAGGGAGTCAATAGTTCAGAGAACAGCGGTGCGGATAGTATTGCATTTCTGGTTAGCTGAAACAACTGTTGCTGATTAGATATGAACCTTTTCTGGTAAAGCATGCTCCTATCAAACGCCTCGTGCCTTAAACGTTTCTCAGCATCCAAGCTGAAGTCTCTAGCTGAAGATGTCTCTTGCGTCACAACGCGCGATAAGCGAAGAGTACCGTCTGTCCGTCAGCACTCCTGTCCATTGCTATTGCACTATCATACTCTGTATCCGAGTTCTTCAGAGAGAGTCAGACTTCTGCAAAGGCGCACTCGACACAAGTTGAAAGTATTTAACCACAGTACTGCTTGCTCTTGTTTTAGACTGCTCCGCGGAGGACTCGCATGCGCACTTCGGGTAAGTAAGTTCAGTGAGCCCCGATCAACTAGATATTTCAGTGTAGCGCGTCAAAATCTCCACCGAAGAACAAAAGGATTCGTTCTAAGAGATACCCCCTCCAGTTC